GCCAGCAGCTCCAGCGGCATGGGGTCTGTCTCCCACGTGACTCTGGGGCTGCCAGAGGCTGTGGCCTCTGGGCGGCAGCTGGGTCTTCCCTGACTTGGTATCCCTGGGCCCCCCACAGGGCCTCGCGGGCCATCAGCAGTCCATACGTGTTTGGTAAATGAACTCCAACTTCCAGCTGTCATTATGGGGCTGTGTTAGAGGCACCAGCATTTCAGTTCACATGCTGTTGTGGTACAGCCTTCACCTCAGAACCCAGATGGACCCACACTGGACAAATAACAAAAGCTGTTCACCTCGAAAGGTGCCCAGGAGACATGGCAAGGGTTAAAAGAAGCAGAGCAAACAGTGGTGCAACTGGTTAAATTCACATGTGACTCCCTACTGAGGTTCCCCACTCCATGAAGCAGCTGTCACCCCCTCCGAGATGGGCGAGGTGACTTGCCCAAGTTCACCGTCTAGAAAGCAGCAGACTCAGATGGGAGCGTCTAGTGTGGGGTCTGGCACTTAGTGGGTGCTCCATAAATATGATGAAAGAGCGAAGAAAAGAATGTAATGACCTAGGTGTCCCGAGTCTCAGCCTGACACTCTGCACCTCACCACCCCCAAACCAATCCATTCTAGGACAGCTCAAAATCTGGTTTGAATTTGAGAAACACTTAGAAAAAGACTAACCATTTCCTGGAGCAAGCTCATGGTTCTAATAACCCCCAAATCCTGTTGTTAGGTGCTATTCATCAGCTAAGAGAGGATTTGAGAACACATCTTACTACCTTTATTTTAACACAGCCTCACTCCAGAGCAGAAAAACTTCCTCTTACAAATATGGGAAAAAAAACAGTATTTACTCTTTGTATTTCTGAAATGCTTCAAAACCAATTATTAATAAGGAAATGTACAAACCCTGCCAGGATATATTATTTTTGCCTTCCTTTATACTGTCCCTCTCCCCCACCTCCCAAAGGACAGGAAAAAGAAAAAAAAACGCCAAATTTCCCAGGTTTAGATTATCTGTTACTTTAATTAAGGCAGAATGAATGGGTCACCTCTGTCAGCTTACAAACTGCAGCTGCATCAAATGGTGTTCCTTTTGAATAAACCCGATCACCATGGCGAGGATTTATAGTAGCCGAATAAAGACAAAAGCAGAGCCCAGGCAGCTTTGACCAAGGTCACTCTGAAAATCAATGGCAGCACTAGCGGCAGGCCCGGGAATCCTTGACTCTGGTTGCTCTGCTCAGGCTGGTGTCCAGGCTGCCTCCCACCAGGAAACCTCGGCCAGCTGGTAGGTAATTACATGTGCTAATAGTCACTGACACTCTAGCCACCAAGACCATATCCCAAGTTCCTGCATTTGTCAGAATGCCAAACTGCCCCCACTTCTCTAGGGCTGTTTATTTAGAGAGGGCAGCTCAGCTCGGACTGACTCAGAACTAGGAGCCTGGCTGGCAACGCAGAAGATGAATGTCTGCACAGGTAGAAAGACAAGGAGACTATTTGTACCTCCACTCACCAAGTCCTCCATTCTAGACCTCATCTGCCTCACAGTAGCTGTGTGACCTTGGACCAGTTCCAGAACCTCAATGAGCCTCAGCCTTCCTCTCTGTAAAATGGGATAAAAAAGTCAGCCTTGCATAATTGTTGGGGACGGCACACCACAAAGACTGTTGGTGCAGGTGCAGAGTAGGTGTCCAATATCTATTTGTTGGCTATCTGAATGAACAAGACTTCCTTGATGCTGTTACTTGCAAATTGGAGACAGTAATTCCTACTTCACGTCACATTAAATGAAATTGGAAAATATACGTATAGATGTATATGTTGCCTAGACTGAAAAAAAGGTAATCTTTTTTCAAAAAAACTGGTTCATGGGGCTGGCCCAGTGGCGTAGTGGTTAAGTTCATGTGTTCTGCTTCAGTGGCCCAGGGTTCGCGGGTTTGGATCCCAGGCACGGACATATGCACTGTTCATCAAGCCAGGCCGTGATGCCATCCCACATATAAAGTAGAGGAAGATGGACACGGATGTTAGCCTAGGGCCAGTCTTCCTCAGCAAAAAAGAGGAGGATTGGCAATGGATGTTAGCTCAGGGCTAATTTTCCTCACCAAAAAAAAAAAAAAAAAAAACGAAAAACTGGTTCATCCTTTCATGTACTGAATTTAGTCTAGTTAATGGAACTTGTAAGTCTTATGCTTATTATTTAGGAAAGCTAATGAAATACTACAATTTAGTTTTCTCTTTGAAAATGATTTCCAAACTTGATGAAAATTTTGCTGGAACAATCAATTAGTGTGTTTTCGACACACAAATCATCATTCTGGAGACAAATGAGTCAAGAATTGAGAGATAAAGGACTGAAAATAGCCTAGAGACTCAAATGGAACTGGCTTCTTCTGTTTTTCTGCTCTGAACCGTCATTGTGGCCGTCAGGACATCACAGGCACATCCCGAATGCCAGGGCTGAGGCCTCACGCCGGACGGACGCTGAAATTGAACTTCCTTGGTGTGACTGTCACACAGTGACACACCACACAAGTGGTGTGAATGACACACACTTGTCACCAGACCATGCAGTAAACGCTTCGTGCTGGAAGAGGGGCATAGAGATGGACAGCGGTCCTTGAAGCTCATGTTCAGTCTATGGAATCACGATAAGAAATAGAAGCGTCTGGAAGACAGTTATGAGCATCCTCCAAGAGTGCTGAGTCTAGGTCTTGGGTTGGGGACCAGAAAAACTGGTTATATCTCTGAGTGTCTGGGTTTGATACCTGGCTCTCAACTCTCACTTAATATCTGTGTGATGTTGTGAGAGTAACCTAGTCTTGCTGGGCCTTGATTTCTTCCTCTGTAAAATGGCACGGTGCCACTTTCCTGGATAACAACAGTGTTTGTTTGGAGGCTCACATGAGAAAGTGTTAAAAGCCTTTAAGAATTATCAAGCAATACCTGGGGATGAGCCTCCATTACCATTTCAGGAATAGGAGAGACCTGGGGCGATGCTAGCTAATAACAACAATGTCGTGAGCACTTCCTTCCTTTCCGGCATTGTCATGACCCTACTTTGGGCTTGCACCAACCTCTGAGGGGGGCTGCTACTATTATGTCCATGTTACGGGTGGGAAAACTAAGGTCCAGAGAGGTTAGCTAGCTTGCCCAAGGTTGCACAGCCTTAACTGTGGTGGTGGGATTTGGCCCAGGCTCCTAACCTTTACGCTGTGGGGTCTCCTGAGAGCATGACAAACAAGGAGTGCTTTGTCAACAAGAGGTAAGGAAGCATCTTACTTTCCCTGGCACCAGCAGCCTCAAGCTTCCTGCACTGAGGAGAGCTGGAGTCTCAAGGTCATCCCAGGTTGGAGCTGGGGACAGTGAGCAGGGGTGGTGGCAGTGAGCCTACAGGTAGGGGGCCACACCAGGAAACAGTAAGCAGGAGAGTCTGGTGGGCAGAGGATGGGCTTCAGAGTACGAGCCACAAGGATCTCACCGCTGGCACCTCCACCTGCAAGCTGTCCACCACCAGCTTCCTAATCTGTAAAATGGGAAGATTATGCTAACCTCAGGAGGCTGCTTCAGAGATTAAAGTAAATCTCTTGTTGCAATTGATAACTGGCACATAGTAGGTGCTCAATAAATGGCTGCTCCCTAGCCTCTCCCTGAGACCTGCTGTTACTCTAGGTGACAAGGAGTAAGGGATGGTGGCACAGCCAGAAACTGCCTAGAGAGAAACCTGAGGATAGTACAACTCAATGGTTAGACCTATGGGCCTGGGGGTCTGGGCTGCCTGAATTCATACCCTGGCTCCACCACTTACCAGTCCCGTGATCTTGGGCATGTTACTTAACCTATCTGTGCTTCAGTTTCCTTATCTGTAAAGTGGGCATAACAACAGTACCCACTTCATAGGGTTTGGGGAATATCAGATATTAATTAATCTGTGTAAAGCACTTAGAACAGTGCCCAGCATATGGTAAGCGCTCAATAAATGCGAGCAATGATGACTTCGATCAGCCCCCTGCATGTTCTTGGGCTGAGGGGCAATTCCAGGCCTTCAGTGGGCTCTGTTTATACTGCAAACCCTCCATTTCCCTGCAGACTCCCAATCAGATCCTGGAAGGGTGGAAATCTCTGCACCCTGGCCACATGATTGTACTAGACGAACTTTAGAGGAAGGACAGTTTCTCATTAGGTGGGCAGTGGGGATTTGGAAAGGGTGACAATGACCATCCGGAAAACATCGCAGGGAGTCAGGCAGGTGCGCGCACACACACAGACACACGCATCCCTCTGAGTTTCTGTGCTTTTTGCATTTAGAGCCAGGTTTTGAACTCAGCTGAGTGAGTTGTTTTATTTCTTTCGCTTTGGATAAAAATGAGCCCCTTGCATGGGGTTCCTGAACGGCCCATGATAATTCCCACCCTGATGGAGGAGAGACCTGGACACAGGTGTGAGGAATTGAGAGCGCGCCACTCCATCCCCATGCATGTGAAAATGCAGAGGGGCGCTCTTACCCAGCTAGAAATTTTACTCTGCAAAGTTTTGTTAGAAAACCACAGGAAGACCACAATTTACTTCTTGTGGAAAGAGGGAGAGAGGGGGAGACAGAGGAAGAGAGAGCGCGTGTGTGGGAGACAGAGAGAGAGAGAGAGAGAGAGAGAGAGAATATTAATAGAAAGAATAGGAGTAGAAACAAGGCACACGGATGTCTTGTAATCAGAGTCGGAGCATTCCCACTCGCTCCTGCCCTCCATCCCTGGAAGTCGAGGGCCCTGCTTCTTGTTAAGCCCGCGTGCGTCTTGAAACCAGCGGAGCCCCAAGCTCGGTGACGGCAACGTGCGCTCGGCGCAACTCGCCGGGCGGGACTCGGCTCGGAGGGGTGGATGCGACGGGCCCGGAGCCCGCGGACTGCCGGCGGCCGGCCGTCCCTCCCCGGCGCGGGCTGGGGCTGTGCCGGGGAGGGCGCCCCTCCTGCGCCCGGCCCGCCCCCGAGCCCGGCCCGCCGGCCCTACCTGAGCTGGCGCGGCTCGCAGTCCACGCCAGGCAGCAGCAGCCGGGCCGCCTGGCGGACGTCGTCGCTGTCCATGGAGAAGCTGCGGCGGTGGCCGGCGTGCGCCACGGCCACCCGGATCCACTCCATCAGCGGCGGCAGCACGAGGAAGGGCCTGCAGCGGGGAGACGCGGAGACGCGTTAGGGCGCCCGGCGCGGGGGCTGCGGCTCGGCCCCACCCCCTGCTCGTCGCCGATCCCCCCCTCCCTACCCGCACCCCGCTTTCCCTGGAGACCCTGCCTCTGAATCCCGGAGTGGTGGGACAGCCTTTGCAGACATCCCGAGCGCACCGGGGACCTCGGGGCGGGCTCTCCCGAGTCTTTGGGCCTCAGTTTCCTCATCTGTAAAACGGGGTAGTGAGTGTGACTGTGAACGGATGCGTTGTGACTGTTCTGCTAGTATTCTCTCCCTCAGAGATCATGTGGACATGAACGAGATGACTCACTTAAAGCGCCAAGCACACAGTCTGGTGCTGAGTAGAAACTTCCCCCAAACGCCTTGGGTTATTAGTACTTGGGGCTCTCCACGCTGGGCACACTCCTGAGGTGCCCTCCAAGTCCCCCTCCCCATCCCCAGCCTGCTCCCTGTCATCCTGCTGGAGCTCTTCCAGGCCTCAGCTCTGCCCAAGCACCCTGCTGCCAACAGGCTTTTGCACCTGGAAAAGGCGCAGAGAGAGCGAGCCAAGTCAACAGGCAGCCTTCCCGGAGAGCCAGGCCTGCAGCAGCCCAATCACAGCCAGCAAAGTGGGGTCCCTGGGGCCTTGGCCACAGCCCCAAAGATCGGGGGGTCTCAGGCTCCCCACCTGCTAATGAGATCACAGCACGGGTCCAGCTTGTTGCAAGAATTAACTGAGACAATGCCTATGGCTGACCTATTACTTTCTAAGTATAATACATTTGTGCCATCTTCCTGTTTCTTCCAGTGATGATGATAAACTCTGTCCTCACATTAGGATTATGGGAGGAGAGGAGGAGCTTTTGAAATATATTGATACCAGAGTCCTATCCCAGGAATTCTGATTTAATTCGTCTAGAATGGGGCTGAACATTGGTGGCTTTTAACACCTCCCCCATGTGAACTTAATGTGCGTCAGAATTATCTGGAGGGCTTGCTAAAATACAGATTGCTGGGCCCCACCCCCAAGGTGTCTGATTCAGTAGATCAGGGGAGGCGGCCAATAATTTGCATTTCTAATGAGTTCCTGGCTGCTGCTGCTGCTGCTGGGCTGGGGGCCACACTCAGAGAACTTCTGCTCTGAAGTATTATTAGAGGGCCAAGGGCCCGGGAATTACCCGAGCGTGTGTGTGTGTGTGTGTGTGTGTGTGTGTGTGTGTGTGTGTGTGTGTAAATGCAGATTCCCTGGCCTTATCTCCAGAGATGCTGATTGCATAGGGTACGTGGATATAACTTTAATAAGCAGCTCCTATGATTCCGATTTAGACAGATCAAGGACCACACTTTGAGAAACATACTGTGTTGCTCAAAAAGGTGTCCTACCATTCAGCAGGGCCAGCGACGAGGATGAGGCAAGTGGGGCACCTAGGTTAAAAAATTTAAGGAGGCCAGGTCATGCAGATGTGTTCTAGGCGCCTCTCTTGCCTCACCCTAGCTCTGGAGCTGCCATTCAGGCCAGCAGGGCTGCCATGGGAGTGAGAAGAGGGTGGTAAACAGAGGGTTTACAGGGCAGCAAACCCTTCAGTATGCAGATATCATGAGCTTCCCACCACATTTTTGGTGGCAGGTTCCAGTTTTCCTAGAGAACAATCTATTTCTCCAATGTTAATATTCAACAGCTAAGCCTTTTACATTAATCTCAGTTAATCCCCATTCATGATCTCATCTAAATGCTTAGGACCAACCTACGGGCTAGTTTATGATTATGTCCATTTTCTAGATCAGGAGAATGAAGTTCACTGAGGTTAAGTAATGTGCCCTGGATCACGAGGTTGGTAAGTATGAGAGCTGGGAGTCAGACCGGAGTCATTTGACTTCACAGCCCATATGCTGCAACCCCATGTGACACATTCTCCTCTCCAACTTCCCAGCATGCACTCTGTTACCCAGCATGCACTTGTTACCCCAGGGAATCTGATCTGGTCATGGACCTTTGACGGCACGCCATGTTCAGTCCTGCTCATGCAGCTCAGTTCTCTGTCTGTAAGGCTTCCAGCCCTTTAAAAATCTACACCCCACTTAACCTTCAAACCATAGTTCGAATCCCACCTACACATTTCTTTTGATGACTCCACCCCACATGGACCCCTCCTGCAGTAGAGCCCACCCGTTGGCCTTATGCGCTGTCGATGTCCCATTAGAATGGGGACGGGGGCAGGGGACTGGGACTGCTAGGTTCCCTGATCCAGCCCCAGCCCCAGGACAGTGCCTGGCAGGCTGTAAGCACTTAATCAATATTTGTTTATGAAACAGACTGAGATTTACCAATTTCTTACAGGGTGAAACGGATAAAATCGAGTTTCTGGACCCATGGACCTGTGGGGCAGACTCCCAGGGAATTTCTGCCTGAATCAGCCTGCTGCTTAGGCTGTCGTGCTCATTCTCTCCTTCTCTCCATCACCTAAACCGAATCAGGCACTCAATAAACACACACTGACTTGAAATTGAATTGGATTCTACTGTCTCAGGTGAGCAGGACTTATTTTTGTCACCATGTCTCCGTCACTAGCCCGGAGTGCTCAGAGAGCTCCCCTCTGGGTTGTTTTTCAGAGGCAGCACCCCCACCCCCTGTCCTGCCTTCCCTTTGCTCAGTGCCCCCAGCACAGCCCACAACTCCCCGTGCCTGGGGGGCGGGGTCTCCATCACAGACTGCCCTTCGGCTGCTGTCTTTCCTGTTAGATGCGAGGCCCAGGGCACGCCCGCCAGCTCCTCATGAATACAGAAGAGGAGAAAAAGAGACCCTGCCGCCTTCAGAATAACACCTTTACCAAGACAGCTGGTGAGCACCAGAATAAGAAACCTTGAACCCCAGGATTCCAGCCTCCTCTGGAATTTTCTACGTACCTATTCTCTCCTTTCAACATTGCCTTTTTTTCCGTCACTGTGACCCCAATAGTTTATAAGCTCATGAATTCTCTGCCAGCAACTCATTTAAAAATCTTCTTATCTTGTCTACTCGGAGGGAAAAAGTAGTGTTATTTGTGATGTTTCTTTTGGAGGAGTCGGAGATGGGAAAGAATTCTAGGGCCTTGTGTTAAGGAGAGGGTGAGGGAAAAAAGATTGCAATCACCTTATATATTTTTTAAGAGAACAATGTTCTCCTGGCCGCAGACTTTGTTCTGAAGTTGTCTGTAGTGACTAAAACCTAGAGGAAGCTTGAGGACCTTCTGGCTTAGCGAAGTGGTTCTGAGACCATGTTCAACATCAGGATCACGGGGGGAGTGTGTGAAAATGGCCAAGGCCCTGACTTCACCCCCAGAGTTTTGGTTCAACAGGTTGGGGTGGGGCCCCGGCCATCTGCATTCTAAATAAGCTCCTCTGGGATTCTGGAGCAAGCCAGGTTTGATAACCCCTGACCGGGTGGCCTGAGGTGAACAGAGGGGAACACAGTCAACTCAAACAGGGCAGTGGCCATGGAAATCTTTGCTGTGGTGTTCGAAGAGAAGGTCTGTGGGGGTGGGACCAGAGGTTCTAGAAGGGAAGAGAAAGCATAGATGGGCTTCTTCTGGGGTCAGGAGAGTAAGTGAGCTCAGGAAGGTTGTTGGGTCCAGATTCAAGCAGGAGACGGAGAACAGACACATGGGGCCTCTCTGACAGAGAAGAGAGAGCTGGTGATGAGGGTGACCACCCAGAACTGAAAGGGAGTGTCACTGGGGAGGGGCTGGGTGCTAAAGGGGATGGTATGGTTTGTGGGAGAAGCCTGTTTAGGATTCTGCAGAACTGAACTCCTGTCCTGAATCTGCCAGTAGCTCATAGGAGGACTCTGGCTCTGGTCTGTAAATGTTTTGGCTCTCAGTGTGTTCATCTGTAAAGTGGGTAGATTTGGATCAGATGGTCTATTTCAGGGGTCAGCAAACCTTTTCTGTAAAGGACCAGAGAGTAAATATGTTAGGCTTTATGGGTCCTGCTGTCTCTATTCGACTACTCAACTCTGCCATTGTAGTGAGAAAGACGCCACACACAATACATAAATGAAAGAACATGGCTGCATTCCAAGAATACTTTAGTCACAACATCAGATGGTGGGTCATAGTTGGCCAACCCTTGGTCTATTTGGTTCCTTCCTAATCCAGAATTCTTTGATTCGATTAAAATAGCCAGCTGCCTGGGGGCTGAGGAAGGGGCTAGCGTGTGGAGCAGGGAAGATGGGAAGCACATGAGGGTCCTGGTGATGGGGACAGAAAGCTTTGGAGAGATTAGGAGATAAGACCCTCCCACAAAGAGGTCATGGCTGGATTTGGGAAATACTGAGCCACAGGTGTACCCAGAGGCAGTACCTTCAAGGATAAAACCCAAACCCGGCCAGGGGTGGGTAACTGAGGCAGTATCATCTCTTAACGTCATTTATTCACCCAACAATGCTTTAGGGAGCACCCATATTGCAGGAACACTTTCAGGGGCTGGGGATAGAATGGAGAACAGGACTCACCAGGTCCCTGCCCTCCTAGAGCTAACAATCTAACAGGGAGATAGATAAGAAACATAAACCAACAAGTAATAAAGAAATTACAAATTGTGATAGGTGCCAGGGTGCTGAGATAGAGAATAAGCAGGGTTGAGGTGGGCTGGTGGGAAGGCCTCCCTGAGAAGGTGATAAAACCTCAAAGATGTGTAAGAATCAGCCATATGTGAATGTGTGTGTAGAGGAATGGACAGTCCAGGCAGCAGTAACAGACAGTGCAAAGGCCCTGAGGCAGAAAACATATTTACATCTCACCAAGGGCTTTCATATGCATCATCTCCTATTTGTCCCTCCAGTGCAGATGGAGTGGCCAGGACATGTGTAAGGAAGGATCACTATGGTAGGCTGAGGAATGGCCCCCAAAGATATCAGGTCCTATTCCCTGAAACCTATGAATGTTGATGGCCAAAGAGACTCTGCAGATGGGATTCAGTTACGGATCTTGAGAAGGGAAGAGTATCTTGGATTATCCACGTGGG